AGGCCCTATCTAGCAATCATTCTTTCAAAGTAAGAAAAATAAAAAATAGAAAAAATCTCATACACATTTTTTTGTAAGGAAAAATGAATGATTTGTGTGTAAATTAATTTTCAATTAACATTATAAAATAAAAAATATAATTCAACAATAATGTAACATAAGAAGATAAGAGTTAGAAATGCAAGGCTTGGGAGTTACGTTAAAGACGTTGTCCTAAAGTCGTGTTGCCTCCCTGATATTCGAGTACTTTCGGCACTACACAACTCCAAGATAAAACCAAGGTGGCTCACAGCTGGTTCTTCTTCTAACCTTATCGAATTATCAAAACTACATAAAATAATATAGAAGTATAGAGAGTATTCTATCAAGTTATCTTTTTCATGTTGTACTTAACCTCATAAAATCACTCTCTATTATAGGGATAAATTTAACCCTCACAATTATATCATTAAAATACAAGTTAAAATATGTATTATGGTATTTTAATTTTATCTTAGAATTGAAAAGTAAAAGGTTTTAATTTGAAAGGTTAAAATTTTAACTCTTAAGTTACAAATAATTTTAAATTTGAAAGGTTAAAAATTCAATATTTGCGGTGAACCAAAAATTCATTTTTTTTATAACTAAATATCCCTACTATATAAAAAGGGAAATGTGGAGACATTGTTGATGGGAACATTATTTTAATCCATTTTATCTCACTGTAGCATTTTTATTTTTTTTTCAAGTGAGGGAGCAAAAACGACGTTGTTTACCTTACTTGATATATATTTTATTATACAGTAAAAAAAGACAAGCAATCTAAATTTACTGCAACACGCAACATTCCATATCTACCACCAAAAATTTAAAGTAATATTTAGATATATTTAATTTTAAAAAATAAATATTAATAAAAAGATCACTATAAAATTAAATATCGTGTGGAATTATTAAAAAATAAAAATACTAATAATATAAGACAGAAAATATTTCTAAAAAGTAAAAAGTTATTTGTGAGTAAAAAAATTGAAGAGAAAGAAATTAAAAAGAATTTTAAGTTGAAAAAAATTATTTATAATGTAAAAAAAAAAAAAAATCTCCGTGCACGAAGACTCACACGGCTCTTCTCCGTGTGCATGGTCTCCATGCATGAAGACATATTTATTTTTTTTACATTATAAAATAATTTTTTTCAATTTAAAATTCTTTTTAATTTTTTTCTCTTCGTAATATCTTATTATATATTTTTCCCTTAATTTACTGTAATACGCAACTTTTCATTCCCACTAACTTAAAATTTAAAGTAATATTTAGATATATTTAATTTTTTAAATTATATATTAATAAAAAGATTACTATAAAATTAAATATCGTTTGGAATTATTAAAAAATAAAAATACTAATAATAAGACATAAAACATTTCTATAAAATGTAAGAAGTTACTTGTAAGTAAAAAATTGAAGAGAACAAAATTTCAAATTAAAAAATATATATATTTATAATGTAAACAACACAAATATTAAAAAAAAAAAAAAGTCTCTTCGTGCACGGAGACTCAAAGTCTAGACATTATCTCCATGCACGGTGACTTTGAGTCTCCGTGCACAAAGACAATTTTTTTTATATGCATTATATTATAGATAAATTTTTTTTCAATTTAAAATTCTTTTTAATTATTTTCTTTTCATAATAAAAACTTAATTTTCCAATTTTTCACTACCATATAAAAAAGTGAATGGGAAGTCACTGTAGCAACGAACCATTTTCACTCCATGTGGCCTTTTTTTCCTTGATCTACTTCCAAGTTTAAATTTATTTATTTATTTTACTTGTGCGTATGGATTTCATTTTTAATTTATTCTTTCCTCCTGCTGTGGACAAAACGACGTCGTTTTATCATAACTTATAGCAAAACGAAGACATTTTACTCAACATGAATCTAACATAGTACATTTTCTCCATTTTTATACGCTACCCGACCATGCCTTTCAAATCCACCATTTTTTATTCTTCTCATCCACACACACTTCCCACTCTTCTCTCCTTTATCTTCAAATACTTGGTCTCTATAATGCTTTGCCCATGAAAAAATTCTTATTTTGAGTCAATTTGAATTTCAGATAATCCATAGTTAGATTCTTCAACCTTTCATTTTCTTTTTCTGTGTATTCCTATTTTGTGTATAAACTATTTTTTTTTTCAATTTTTTCATTGGCATTTAGGACTTTAATATTTGAAGCTGATTTTTCCCAACGAGTAAGTTTGTTTCCTTTTTTTCCTTCTTTACTTTTTTGTTTGTATTTTTTTTTTAAATGATGGTTTATGTGGCTTCCAAATTGTTCTTCATTTTTTTTTATTTGCTGTTTAGACCTATTTTGGTATTCTATTATTGATTGGATATCTAGGATTTCAACGTGTTATTTGTTGTTTGTAATTTTGTGTTATTTTCGTTCTAGGTTAGATCTGAAAATTTAGGATTTCAATGTCCTTTTGTCTTCTTCTTCTTCATTTTTTTTAACACTTATTATCTTTGTTTTGAAATTTACTTTTTAAAGATGTTATTTTTGTTGTTGGTAACTTCAAGATTTACTCTTCGAATGTGTTTTCTTACTGTTAAAGTGTTGAAAGTTCAAAAATTATTTTTGGTCTTCTATATTTTCTTTTTCTGTGTATTCCTATTTTGTGTACAAACTAATTTGTTTTATTTATTTTCAATTTTTTCCTTGGTATTTACGACTTCAATATTTGAAGCTGATTTTTCTCAACGGGTAAGTTTGTTTCCTTTTTTTCCTTCTTTAATTCTTTGTTGTATTTTTTTTAAATGATGGTTTATGTGGCTTTCAAACTGTTCTTCTTTGTTTTTTATTTACTATTTAGATTTATTTTGATTTTCTATTAGTTGGCTGGATATTTAGGGTTTCAATGTGATATTTATTTTTTGTAATTTTGTGTTATTTTTGTTCTAGGTTACATATGAAGATTTAGGATTTCAATGTCCTTTTATCTTCTTCTTCTTCAATTTTTTTTTATGCTTATTGTCTTTGTTTTGAAATTTACTTTTTAAATATGTTATTTTTGTTGTTGGTAACCTCAAGATTTACTCTTCGAATATGTTTTCTTACTGTTAAAGTGTTGAAAGTTCAAAAATTATTTTTGATCTTCCATATTTGAGCTAAAAATTTAGGTTTTGAAGGTTTTTCTTCTCTCTTTGTTGAAGATTTGCTATTCTAATTTGTTATTTGGTTAGTTATCGGTTGATGATGAATAGTAAGTATTCGAATGTGTTATTTTGTTCTCTGTGAATTGTGTTGTTTCCATTTGAAGTTAAAGCTGAAGGTTTAGGATTTTAATGTCCTTGTGGCTTTATTTTTTACATTTATTATCTTTGCTAATTTTGTTGTTGGTGACCTCTAGATTTAGTCTTGGAAGACATTTTCTTATTGTTGAAGTGTTGGTAGTTCGAAAATGCTTTTTAATCTTCTATACTTGAGATGGAAATTAGGCTTTGAAGGTTTTTTTCTCCATTTTTTGGTTGAAAATTTACAGTTTCAATCTATTTTTTTATTATTAGTTGATGATGAAGAGTGAGGGTTCGAATGTGTTATTTTTTTCTCTATGACTTGTATTATTTTTGTTTGAAGATAAAGCTAAATATTTAGGATTTTTATGTCCTTGTGGTTTCATTTCTTGCACTTATTGTGCTTGACCTCTCTACGTATTCATTCATTTCTTGATCGCCTAAAAATTCTTGTGTTTATGCTGATTTCTTTGTCGTCCAAGTGCATTTTACCTATCGAAACATACATGCAACTCATTGTCTTGGTATTCATTTTCTATAGTCAAAAAATTTCATGCCATCTCATGATTTCTATGTCCAATGTGTCTACAAGTGCATCTTTTCGTCTTCTATTTCATATTTAAGTTCAAGATTTACCCTTTAAACCTGTTATTTTTCTGTGAGGTTGAGAATTTGTCTTTGAAGGCAGTTGAGACAGAAAAATTAATTGATAAGTGAGACAAAAGTGAAGAATCTGGAATAATTTATCCAAAGGTAAGTAAAATTTAAATTCAATTAGAAATCTGAATATTTTTTTTGACATGTATTTTTATGCATTTTTTCCTTTATGCCTATGAGATTATGAGAGTAAAGCATGTTTTTATAGTTTCTTTTAAGCTCAAGAATTCTGTCTTAGATAATGGAGATTTTTTATAGTGGGTTTGACCTATAACTTAATGCTTGTTTTTTATGACAATGCTAAGACTTGTCTTGAGTCCATTAATGTGTCTATTACAGTATTGTATATGTTGAGTGATATTTGGCATTACATTGTTGAAATTTAATTTAGGATCATCTATGCCATTTGATATTATTGTGGTTGATATGTTAACATGTTAAATTTATCTCACTGCTTCTTGATAGTGTTGTCTAGTCCATTATTACATTTTTTACTTCATGATTCTTCACGTTTTAAGAAAAATTTTGGATTTTGGTGCCTTTATTTTATTTGTTTGACTATGGGTTTGAGAAAATGATGGTTCTGACCTATTAATTTCATGATGTTTATTGACATAGTTGTCACCATTCTTCTTAGTAACTCAAGTTCTTGAAATTCTTCAATTTGATGTAACTATGTTTGACAATTTGTTAATCCATTTTCTATATTTACAGTCTTTATTTTTGGACTGTGGTCTGTGATCATCGATGTCTTAACAGATTCTCCACTTGATTCTGTTCAGTTTATCAAGTGGTCACTTACTTTCTCTCCCCGTGTCTTGCTCATGCTAATTTTCGTGGCCGGATTACCATCTGGACTCAGCCTTCTCAAGTATGCTAGCCCTGTCGAGTTTGTTGAATTACAAAACTATAACATTCTCGTTTCTCAAACATCTTACTGATTTGCTACTAAAATACTTAGACTAGACTATACTTATTCTCGGTCACAATTTTTTTCACATATGATATATGTTGAGATACTCTTCTTCCATGTTTTTATTGAGCTCACATTTTTTTATTCATTCAGGGTCCTATCCTATCAAATGAATCATTAATCTATGAATAGTATAAAAAAATCAAGATAAAGGAAAATACAAACTTGTTTTACTTCTTTAGCAACTCACTCAACCACGTACATCGTACAGATAAACTGAAGAACACAAAATAATTGGTTGTGAGAAAGATTACAAACGAAGAATAAGACCGGTGGGGAATAAACTCCTGATAGTTTTCGTCGAAGAATTTTATTGCACATTTCATTCAAGATTAGTAGAAAATTATGTTACAGCATTAATACTATTGGTAAGATGGTAAACCTTTGGAAGTTCGTGAGGAACAATGTTATGATATAAATGTATCGTGAAAATATTTATAAATTAACATGAACATTCTGGTGTTAAATTCAAATTATTGTTCTAACTTCCGAATTCCAACATCTTGCACTTCGGTGATTATTGTCCCAAGGGTAAAGAGTTGCACCAGTATTGACAATTTTTGAATAATATAAATTCTACACATTACACACTAATAATAACATAATAAATACAATACTCGTGCAACGCAAGAGACGAAGACTAGTAATTCTATAAAAGAGCACATCTTTCTCCCTTTGCTGACACCACATAAAATAAGTGTAGACCCAAGATTTTTTGTTTTATTATTATTTTTTATACTGTCCCCTTGTTTGAGCCCCATTTTGGGGGAAGAATGAATTTTTAAATAGTGTATTGATGAGAAATGTGCACACTAATAATAACATAATAAATACAATACTCGTGCAACGCAAGAGACGAAGACTAGTAATTCTATAAAAGAGCACATCTTTCTCCCTTTGCTGACACCACATAAAATAAGTGTAGACCCAAGATTTTTTGTTTTATTATTATTTTTTATACTGTCCCCTTGTTTGAGCCCCATTTTGGGGGAAGAATGAATTTTTAAATAGTGTATTGATGAGAAATGTGTGGTTAAAAAATAAGAAAAAATTTTGAATTTGAGTATAATATTATTTTATTGAAAAATGTGTGGTTAAAATGATATCAAAACACTGTTGAAAATTCATTTTTTTCCAAAAATGGGGCTCAAACAAATGCACATGTGTTTTGCTTGCTTTCCATCTCCTTAGAAGTCAAGGACACATTTTTTTATCCCTTTTTTATGGACTAGTAACTCAATCTAGCTTAAGATCTAAACAAACTGAAGGTTGGAAACATGCACCATGTCTAGCTTATAAACACAGTTAATGTTACGCACAATCGACACAAAGAGACAAATGTCGCAAATCTGTTGAACAAAAGATTTCAAGAAAATGGTTGAAAATATTGATGTGTGACATCTCGTTGGAGGAAAGGCAGAAAATATTACTCGGTAGAAAAATAATAGTCCTATTCTTCATAATTTTCATGGAAATTAATTGAATTTATTTTAAATTAATAGTTAAAATATTTAACATTTCAATAATATTTTAATCAATATTTTAAAAGAGGTTTAAATGCATGATTAATCAATATAAGTGCATTTTTAGCCCATGTAAATTCTACAAGTAATTGTCTACTTTTATATGTAACTCATATATATTGGTATGATTATATGGTATTGTATTATAAAGAAATTGAAAAAGTGTGGAATATTTATGTTATATTACTATGATGCTAATTTCTAGTTGCTTACTTGATGACTACTAAATGGAAAAAATATTTTCCAAGTTACAACGCTTAAGTTGAAGGTTAGATTATGTGATTTTATGTAGTTATTAATATTTGTGCATATACATGAATTTTACAGTTATTCTTATCAATGATAAGGTGAATAATTGATCATGATATAAGTTTGCTAGTGATATTCTAAAATTACCTATGTACATATATGTGGGAATAGAAACTTATTGAACATTATGTTAGAACATAATTGTTATTCATTTCAAATTTTATTTGTTTTATTTTAATACATTAGTAATAAAAGTTATGAGTAAATGTTTCAAAGAGAAGTTTTATATTTATTTAAAATGTTGTAACCGATATTGAGGTTATAATATTGTATGTTATATTTTTGGAGTGATATATTGGTGATTATATATGGTGTAAGAAAGTAAAGGGGTACATTTAATTCATAATAAAATTTAGAACTACAAATTAAAGGCAAATCTAATATGTGGTTAATGATACAATAGTAGCTATTAGTTATAAATAAGTAATTAAAATGTGAAGTTACGTGCAAGTCCATAATAGTGTGTAGAATTATTTGTACATTGATTTTTCTACTCAAGTCAATCCTTGCCTAATTAATCAGTAAAGTGATAATTGATAGAAAGATATGCTATTATAGGACAATTTTGGAAAGTAAAAGAAATTGGTGGATATTTGACTTACAACTAATGTTTGGTATTGTTTTTAATTTATATTGCACTATGATGTCTCAATAAGTGTATTGGTGTTAATGCAAAAAATAAGCATTAAGAATTTCGGTCAATTGAAAAAAGGAGAAGTATTATGATTTGCATTTTGTTATATTAAGTTTATGCTTGTGCTAAACTTTAAGTTGGATAAACTCAATGCTTTAATAGGAGCTAATATTGAACATATCATTAATTAAATTAACGTAACTTTGTATATATTAAAAAATTTAATTATAATACGGAACCGAACTGAATGGAACCAAACCCGAATGGTTCCATAATTAAATTTGGACCCGACGGTTCCACTTACTAAATGTCCAAAAAATTTGGGTCGGTTCGGTTCTAACGAGAACCTGGTTACTTTATTTTCCATTATACTTTGTTATATAGTTCATTAATTTGTTATAAAACCAAAAGGGTATCACAATTTGTTGTTTTTCATACCTCCAAATCAAAATTTAGAGTTAAATGCACCTACGACCACGATACTTCCCCTATTGTTTCTAAATGATCATTGACCTTTAAAACATTTCTAATTAGACACTAAACTTACTAAATTGCTAAATTATCTTTTACTCCATCATCAACTTTAAAATATTGATGGCATGGATATCAGATATTTAGCCGAGCACCTCTGAACGTTTGTGTTTCACATTATTTCTCATTGATCATTGAATTTTAAAATATTTTTACTAGCACTAAACTTACATATCTATTGATGTTGCTCAAGATAATATTTGTCGAAAATGGACAAAAAAGTGTGACATCATATGTCCTTCCATACAAGGCAAGGACATATACACTTTTTTTTTTACAGTGAAGTGATTGTTTTTAACGACATTGAACATAATTTCGACAATAGTATCATTTTGACATAAGCTTCCATTACATGCATATTATAGCTTTGCCATCAAGAATTTTTGTTAAACAATTTTCTCTGCAAGCCCATTGTATAGCGAAAACCTAATATGATTCCATTTTTGGTTAATATCCATTGTACATAGGTTTAGAAATAGCAAAATATACAAAAGTGAAAAATATAGTATGCTAGCATAATTTCAAACAATTCGCCGTTAACGTAGAAAACTTACATGTATTCCATGAGCATATAGCTCTAGTAATTTTTTTTTAATTATTATTATTTTTTTTGGGAATATTAGCTCTAGCGATGTTAGTATAATTATAAAATAATATATAAAAATTGCTGATTCAATAAAACCAAAATATTATAGTGTTCTTATCATTGATGTAAGTGGGAGCGTAAATTATAGCAAATACGAGATTACAAATGCATTCGTGCACAAATTACCGAATGAATATATATATATATATATATATATATATATATATATATATATTATTTTTAATCTTATGTATATAT